TTGCTCAGTTAACAAACTGGAGGAAAGCGGAGTGTAGGGGATGAAGATTGTTGCTAGAGAATTGGCGTCCCAGTTGGTCTTCGTTACTATGGTGAAGCACGGAGTGTATGCAAATGGCGATGTTTTAAACTTTCATTTGGCTTTATTTACCGATTTGTCAATGCAGTATTTTTGTTGTAACTATTTACTGGTATTATTTTAATGTACTCCTCACATTTCCTGGTACTGTATATATTATTTTAAGAAAACTATGGCTACAGGAAAATAAAAGAATTTTTTTTCCAAAATACTCCTTGCTAATTTGCAAATACAGTATAGGGGGTGCATCTTATATGCCATAAAATAGAATACAGTAGTACCCCGATTTACGCGGTCAACTGAACCCACAGGGCACCGCGGAAAGTGAAATCCGCGTAAATGGAACAACAGAACATGGGATTAATTCCAATAAAGACTGGCCCAACCCCCAAACTCCATTTTTTCCAACACAATACCTATGTTGTAGTAAAAATAACATATAAATTTTATGATGGTATGCTCACACAATAAATATTTAAGAGAAATACAGTCGCCAGGTTAATGTCCATTCAAATAATAGACTCAAATCCCCCCCCCACCCTCTTCCCACCTCACTGGCCCCTACCTCTCTGAGAAATGATTGGGTGAAACACTAGATTTTAACGTTTAGTAATAAATAATACCTCAGACTAGTTAGGATAATATAATTGACATTTCTGGATTCCTTGCAGATCAGGGAATATTTTCAATGTAAACTTCATACATTTTGCACAAAAAATAAAATACAGTTAACCCTCACTTTACGCGGTTAATGTAACCCGGAGGGTACCGAGGAAAGCGAGAAACCCGTAAAGTGAATAACATAACATATGGGATTAATTGAAATGGAGTCCAGGCCGATCCCCAAACTCCACTTTTTGACGACACATAACTATGTTGTAGTAAAAATTTTATCTTAACTTTATGATGGTATGAAAAAACAAGTAATATAGAAGAGGTTAGGTTAGGAAAAATAAAGGTTAACATAGGAAAAATAAAGGTTAGGTTAGAAAACTAAAAATTAGGTGGAACACTTACGGTAGTAGAAGAGATGGGTCGGCATACGGGGATGGAGGCTGGTTCCGAGGCAGAGGGCAGATTACTCGCCCTCAGGTGAATCACCATTACTAGGTGAATCACCATCACTGTCACTTACAGTTGTCAGGGCTTCCCTGACAAATCCCTCAAAGTCATCTTCACTGCCACTATCACTGGCTTGGGCTGGCTGTGGTGGGTTGCGGGCGAAGAAATCTGTTATGCTTTGCTGACGGCTGGCGTTGATGTTGTCGTGATACACCTTGATGTACGGCTCCATAGCCTGCACCAGCCAGGTATGGAAGACTTCATAGCGGTCATTGTCGCAGGAAAGGAAGGACTTCATTTTCTCTGCACACTCCATGGCACCCTTAATATCACTATGACTTAAACTGTGTTCTTCGGAGAATGACGCACCTTCTTCCTCCTCTTCACTGACGTGTTCTTCTTCCAACATCTCGTCGGCAGTCACTTCAGGATCTCTGATCACCTCCAGGATGTCGTCGTTGGTGGTCTCGGAGAAGCCTGGAACTGTAACAGTCTGCGCAGCTTCTCTGGCAAGGTCCACTGCAACTGCAACATTCTGAACCTCACCAGTCACAGATTGACTCCTCCTCTCACCTGGTATTCCATGCAACACATGTCTCCATGCGTGACGAATTGTAGCAATAGACAGCTGATCCAATGACTCCACCAAGAAGTCCACAGCTTTCTTGATGTTAAATACTCTCCAGAATTGTTTGAACAGTATTTTTTGCTGTTCCAACTGTTGATCCTCATCTTCTTCGCTCTTGCTATCGGTGGTGGTGTCACTCAGGTTACGCAACTCTTCCCTGGTGTTGGTGTAGTCGTTCAGGAGCTGGAATTTTTTTGTTGAGAATGCAGCTTTTACATTGCAGATTAACTCCTGGTCCATGGGCTGGATTAATGACGTAGTGTTGGGAGGAAGGAAGACCACTTTTACGTTGGGGTGACGATCTAACAGTAGGGGCGAGTGTCCTGGTGCGTTGTCCAGCAGCAACAAAATATTGAATGGCACATTCTGTCGCTCACAGAATTTCTTTACATCGGGAACAAAACAGTCATCAAACCAGGAGAGGGACAGTGTAGAGAACATCCACGCCTTACGTGCGGTCAGCCAGTGGACATTTAGCTTGGTCATGTCCATGGTTTTGTAGGCGTGCGGCTTGCGTGCTGTGTGGATCACCGATAACTTGAGCTTACAGGTACCGGAGGCATTGGTGGTAAACAGGACGGTGATGCGTTCCTTCTGCATTTTCCGGCCCCGAATCCTGCTGGCATTCTTTACAACGAAGGACTTGGAAGGTAGCTTTTTCCAGAAAAGACCAGATTCGTCCATGTTAAACACCTGGTCGTCACTGTACTGTCCTTCCTCCATAATCTCGCGTAAAAACGGAGGAAATTCCCGAGCCGCAGCACGATCAGCACTCGCTTCTTCACCACCAATGTTTATATTGGTGATCTTGTTCCGGATCTTAAACCTCTGTAACCACCCAGAGGAAGCATTAAAGGGTTTGGGCTCTGTAGTTCCCATCTTTCGTGCCACTGCCATGTACAGTTCACGTGCGTAGTCCTTAACAGAGCGCGTGTCGACCGCCATGTTCCGTCGCGCCTGACGCACCAAGTACCTCACAAGTAATTTTTTTGTCTTGAGAAGCACCTGGTTGTGAAAATACTTGATCATAGAAGCACCTGTAGACTTTGTGATCTTCATGTGCTCCTTTATCTTGGCTGCATCCTTCTTTATAGTCCGGATCGTAGATTCGTTCACACCATGCTGGCGCGCCAAATCAACCTGCCTTGTTCCTTTCTCCAACTCTTGGATGATGGTATACTTCACCTCGTAGCTTAAGGAACGTCGTGTCTTCTTTGGCTTAGTGCCGCTGGGTCCAGGTAAGGAAAGGTTTCTCTCTGGGGGTGGTGGTCCGGCGGAAGCCATTTTACGGAACAATGGATGCGCGTTTACACGGAGTGGCCTTGAGGGATGAAACTGCCGCGGCTAGGTCAAGCGTCGTCTTTCCTCCCTCCCTCCCTCCCCGGGTGGACACGTCATAATACTTTAAGCCAATTACAGCTAGCAGCAGAGGGGGGTAGGGATGCATGGCCAATCACAGGTCTGATACGTCATATGACGTCAGTGATAACGCAACAAAGACACACACTGCGCAACCTTACCGCGCCGCTTGCCCAAGCGGAGGGAGGAGGCGAGGAGCACAGGCAGGCAGGCAGGCGGGCGGGTGGCGGGTGGGGCGAATCTAAAAATAGCGTCGCGCCAGACACTCTCCGCGTAATGGGGTTCACGTACCGCATAATTTGAGCACGTGAGGTTCTGGCAAGGCACCGCGTTAACGTGGAAACGCGGAATGCGGGACCGCGTAAAGTGAGGGTTAACTGTACTTGCTTTGTGTAAACTAAATTATTACATTACATCTAAAATTTGTATGTCTAATGCAAAATCCATGATGTTTATATTCAAAATGATCATCATATTGTAAGAATTCCAGCAATGTAAATTATATTCTGGTCCAGTAATTTGTATGAATTTTATGAGCTAAAACAAATATCTTCACGACACTATCTGTCAATCAAAGTACCCCAACTTGCCTCCCCCCCTCTTCCAACAGCGCCAGATGGTCGGTCAGTCCCAACCGTACCCCCCACCCCCCACCTTCCCTCCCTACCAGAGAAATGTTGGGTGAAAAAACTAATTTTAACTTTTAGTAACAAATAATACCTCAGACTAAAGTTAGGATAATATAATTGACATTGCTGGATTCCTTGTAAGACCAGGAACATTTTAAATATAAATGTCATATATTTTGCACAAAAGATAACATATTTACTCAGAGTAAACATTATATCTAAAATTCGTATGTCTAATGCAAAATCTATGATGTTTATATTCAAAAGGATCATCAAATTGTAAGAATTCCAGCAATATAAATTATATTCTGGCCGGGTAATTTGTATGAATTTTATGAGCTAAATAAAAAAAAAATTATACTTCACGCGTATATGGGTAGATGAACCGCGTATAGTGAAAGTTCGGTTCTGGCGAGGCACCGCGTATATGAGAAATCGCGTAAAGCGGGGTACAACTGTACTGTATTTTTGGCTTTTTTTATATAATTATTTTTCATTTTTATACATTTAGTACATACACCAGAAGATTCAGACATTCGGCTTTTGCAGATAGGTAGTCTCCCCTTTTAGCTGAGTAATTCAAATGATGAGTTATATGAAAGTTGTTACAGCACCACAAAAGACCAATACTGATAAACAACACTTAAAAAATGACAACCCTCTACAGTAATAAAAATATCTGGCCAAACAAACGAATAGGTCTGGCAGAGGTATTTAACCTGTGGTAATTACCATCCCCCTTCAACCCATCCAATTTGCCCTTTTTTGGAGTGTAAACAGTTGACATCACCGAAAAAAAAAAGTGAGCAGGGTTGGGATTTCTGAATACATTCAGCTCATCTGTCTCTTTTTCTTCTGTGGGGTTCCAACTGGTTCGCAGGCCTGTTAGCCACTTCTCTTCTGCACTGTTGGCAAGTACTGTACATGAACTGGCTCCAGAATGCATATGTACCTGTGCCAAAGCTGTACTCATACTTTATTCATAGTTTTATGAAACTTCAAAAGTTAACATTCTTGTTGTTCAGGGGTGGAGGAAGCATGTTTCATAAATGGCTCAGTGCCTTACCCGAAGTGTAGATTTGTTTCCAAAACCATGGAGGAATTAGTGAAAAATCAGATATATGAACAGAGAAAATCTACCCGTTTACTTAAAATTAGCAAGCAATCTATATCTATCTACAGGGTCAATATAAAATCTAAAAAGATCTCATAGATTAAACGCAAACAATAAAAAGTGCACTAACCATATTGTATTTACACCGCTCTATGAGTTCATATGCAGTCTCTGTCCGAAGAAATTTGTGTAAGACATCAGCATTCAAGAGAATGGAATCTTCATGTTGCCGGATGCTTGTAGAAAATCCGGGCCATATAGAAATCCTGTAATATATATCAGAAATTCTGAAATCCCAAACTTTTCCCTCTTTAAACCCTACCTGGTGCTGGATGAGGCTCTTTTAGCCCCTCCCTCAGCTTATTCCTTGGTACATATTTAGCTAAATACATACAATTTCCTATACAGGTAGTTCTGCTATTACGCGAAGGTTGTGTTCTTGTAAAACATCGTGTTATAGAAATTCGCGTAATAGAAATAACGGCTTATGGAGAAAATAGGGTTAGGTGCAGATTACTCCAAATCGAAAAAAAAATTCGTAGTTAGCCTAACACAAAGGATAGCAGTCTAAATAAATGTTACATTCATATCTAATAATGAAATCATACAGCAAATGTTACACTTTACCTTGAAAAAATATGAATATAACTTGATGGGGGAGAAGGTTGATGTTGAGGAGTCATGAAACATCAAGCTTTTCTTCAAGTGTTATAGCCTTTCTTTTACGATCACCACCGGAAATGCGATCACCAGAATGCTTCCCAGAGATATTCTTCTTTTCCATAGTCACAAAATTGGAGAAACAGTAATCAGAATTCACTGAGGACGCTTAAAAACTTCACACGTGTTTCAAACTGAACGTGTGGAGTAAACAGAGCGCGCGGGTCTAAAACGCTATGTATTTTGTTTTTCTCTTATTTAAAATTTTACAATTTACATATACTGTACAGGTATACTGTATACATAAATATTACATAAATTATTTCTGCAATTGTTCACAAACAAAACACATAAATCAATTGAACATGTGATGTCGAACGTGAACTGTAAACACTGCATAACCCCGCGCCAAGCCACAACACTGTACAGTACACTTTAAACGCTACGTATTTAGTTTTTCTCTTTTATTTAAATTTTTACAATTTACATACAGTATATATATATGTAAATTGTAATTTACATATTATTCATATTATGCTACAGCGCCCACAAAACATGAGAAACGTTCGAGTCCCCTAGTAGAGATGTCCGTTCTCTATCCACTTCAGGATGTCTTAGTCCTTCGTTTTCTTTTTGTGTACTTGCTCAGGGACTCAAGTATTTCTGTATATAACACAGCATGATAAGGGAATTTTAAATTATGAGTGAATGAATTTATTATACAGTGATCAATTAACATAGTTTTGGTGTGTTTAAGTAGTATTCAGGCGCCTTCAGCCTAGTAATTTTACGACATTCGTATCACTCACTGTAAACCACGAATTACATCCATACACAGAGAGAGAGGCCAAGCGCTCTGTTTACATCACACACACACAAATATTACATACCGTATATCTCGGCCTATTTTATAATCAGTCATGTACTGAATATTCTATGTGAAGAATATAAATTTTAAATGAATTATTTATAGTGCGGTCGACTTCCTACACAAAGACGGGCTATAAATAGTCGTCTTATCTCCCCTCCATCTATTACCCTCTGTTCTCAGAGAGAAGGTTTTGGTAAATAACTTTTGTTTGTTTATTTTCATTGTTTGTCTAATTTATCATGTTGTATCAAAGTAATACTGTATTACTAAAAATTTTAGGCAGCTACCAAACAGGGAGATACTACCGCCTGGGAAAATATTGGAAGAATAATGTATAGTATTGTCTAATGGTAGATCCTACTTCCATATGGCATCACGAAAATTGTGACCAAGTCTTAGGTTGCTGATCTATCTTTCTGCCTCATTTACACACACTTGCAGAGTTTCAATTGTCTCTCTTCCTTTGACAACACAACATACATACAATATAATTTTTCTCACCTTTGATCTTTTTTCCTTTTTGCATTTATTTATGGTTGGTTATTTAAAATAAGGCCAATTCACTTCAAGTATTGGCATCAAATTTTACCGGCTGGTGTACACTAGTGACTCACTTAAGCGGCAGTTATTTAACTGGAACTAGTGTTGGTGTGAGTAAAATATTTCCATTTACTTGAAATAGATTTGCCGATTTATTTGTTTATTTATTTATAATATACACCTAGACCCTGACTTACGATGGGGTTAGGGACCCAAATCCAGGTCGTAAGTCCGACATGGTCGTAAGTCCGACATGGTCGTAAGTCCGACATAGATAAAAAAAAAAAAAAAAAAAAAAAATTAATAAAAAATCTTCAATGAAATACAGTACAGTAAAAGTAATGAATAATGATGAATGGATACAGTACAGTGAAAGTAATAAATAATAAGGAATGGATACAGTGTGACTGAGCACTTACCCTTTAATGTAGTCAGCTGAATGCACATGGGGCCCCCATAATTTTCTAATTATACATGGAGACTACATTAACTGGAAACGTTTCGGTATAGAAAATGCGTGTGTCATTTAAATTTTTATTTTATTTATTTATTTTATTTTTTTATCTATATCTGAGGCGGTCGTAAGTCCCGACGGTCGTAAGTCCACGTAGTCGTAAGTCGGGGTCTAGGTGTACTGTAATATGTTAAACACACTGCAAGTATTTCTTTAATTTATATACTTGTTTCGCGAAAAAAGGAGGCTACCATTATACCTGGTAGGTGAAGTTGACCAGACATTTATGGTGATCATTAAGGACCAAACTCTGAATCCATGACGTGACTTCTGTTCATCATTTATATCCTAAATTTACCACTGTTGGTAGTTTCAAGAATTAACGCAGTCATTTACTGAATATTCTTTGTAAAAAAATAATTTTTAAATGAATTATTTATTGGAGATAAGTATTATCATCAGTAAATATACAGATATGCATTACTGACCACTTCCGAACACAAGGACAGCTAAAAATAGCCACAGGCGGTCACAGTCAAGGTCACTTTCCCTTTCTTGTCACTGGCACATGGGGGGGGGGGGATGATAGCAGCTATGTTTATTACCTGGGTATATTGTTCTTTTACGGTATGTTAGACTGGTTTATAGTACATTTTTATTATTTTAATATACCGGTTATCTTCATTTTAATCCAGCTTCCCAAACGTAAGTTTCAGTATAAAATAATTAGTGGTAGGACCTTGTGAGTGGTTTACGATGTTTCCATCACCACTCTTGACACGCTAAACCGCAATATTTAAGAGGTAAGAATTTTATATCTGGTGCCTAAGACGACCCCCTAACTTTGGGCTAATTTTTTTATGGTTCAAATTCCTTCTTATAGGCCGAGATATACGGTAAATTATTTCTGCAATTGTTCACAAGCAAAACACATTAATCAATTGAACATGTGATGTCGAACATGAACTGTAAACACTGCATAACCCCGCGCCAAGCCACAACAACCGTTCGAGTGGAATCGCGTTAGAGCAAACGCGTTCGCGTTTTACAAATATTGTTCCTCTATTCATCAATTGCGTTAGAGCCAATTCGCGTTGTCAAAACACACGTTATAGCAGAACTCCCTGTATTCTCAAAGAAAACTAATAAAAATATGAAAAAAACCTAATTATTTAATTATCATTGACCTTTCCATCCAATGAATTCTATTTTTATTGAATTTATGGTCAAAAATAAAATAATGAATATGAAACAATATAAAACTCGGATGAACACTTGTGAGAAAGCTGGTGCTGCCGACACACGCTAACAGACATGTGATTAACACTCACAGGTATAGAGTCCTATACAGTAGAACGTAGATTATAACGCAAGACACGTTCCAAGAGAGGTCGCTTTAAACTGAATTCGCACTAAATCGAAGTGTTGTTTCAATGGAATAATTTATTTTGGTACTTGAGAGAAACACAAAATACTAAAAAGACTGACAGTCTACTCAGATGCACCTCAGCCCATCTCCTAGAATAAACAAAACTTTGTTTTCTGTTGTATTATGTTAAAAGAAACACTAATAAATCAACACAGCTAAAATTAATGGATGTGAAATGGTCTGTTTACTGGCTGGGAAGATGGGGAGGAGGGAGGGAGGTGAGGTGATATGTTTGACAGTTGATGCCAAGGTCTAGTGTTTATTTATTTACCTGTCCTGGGGGTTGACAGTGACATGTTTGACAGTTAGCGTCAAAGGTCTAGTGAAGTATTTATTTGTTTATTTATGTCCTTTAGATTGAGTTATTGTTTTTTGTTGATAAAATGTCACAGAAGTGATCAGGGAGAATATAATTTACATTGCTGGAAGTCTTATAAGATAGTGATTTATTTGAATATATTCATGCTACAGTTGGCACTAGAATTTTTTTTAAGTAATCATTTAGTACATTTAGTACAGCTTTGCCCTTAGGACAGTGTAGCGTGCCCAGAGAAACATTAGGCACGAATTTTAAAATACCATGCTTTAGATTGGCTCGCGCAAAAATAGGAAATATTTTCTTTAAATTAAAACATTGTCCTTAATTGTAGGTGTCGCTTTAAATCAATAATCTTAAATTGAATCGCTTTAAATCAACGTTCTACTGTACCCTTTAAACACTAACCTGTCCCATAAGCCACGCACTTCATCTATACCTACAAATTGATGATTGGTTCCCCTGAGCGTCTTACCTCCCCCCCAAGCTGTGCGTGTACAAGAGAGTATTTTTATCGACCTTTTATGATAAATATTTAAAATTTTCTAACATCCTTTCTGTAGTGCTAATGCCTTGAAATCATTTGCATTTTGATGGTTCATATAATTATTTAACTTTATTTTAGATAATGATAGGTCTGCTTACAAACTGTCAACACATTTAGAAAATAAAAGGCAGCCCAAAGAACATTTTATCCGTATTGTTTACTCTATTTCATTCTAAATTGATTATTATCATTTAAAAATAATTAGTTTTGTAAGATTTTATTTACTGACTGATTACAGCTCTTCCCCGACTTACGACGGGGTTAGGGACCCACATCCAGGTCTTAAGTCGAAAATACTTAAATAATACATAGAAAATCGAAAATGGGTGCCTCTTTTTCTTCTCAGCACCACAAAACTCTTACTTTTAAGCTTGCCAGCCATTTTAAGTTGATTACAAACGAAAATTATCTCTGTGTACTGACGTTGGGACTCGAAAATACGTAATTTG